AGCGAGATATACTAATAAATTTCAGTTGTCTAGTGGTAAGGTAGTTGCTCTTTAGCAACTTGGTCACGAGTTCGACCAAATTTCTAGCCATTTGGTTAATTTTCTTATTTTTATTTAAAGAGGGGTATAAACCTCATTTTATCTTCATCTTCATCCCCAACCCTTCATGTTCTGAAACCCTAATATGCGGCCGCCTCCATTATTCTTCGCATAAATCATCATTTTTCTTAACTTTTACACATAAAACTTGTAGATCTAACCAAAACTAACTTGTTGTGAACTTCAAAAGATAAGAAATTAAGTTTTTTTTTACATTCCGAGTTTTTGACCGAACACATCGAAATCGCGGCGATTCCCTACTGTCGAGCGTTTAACCGCCGCTGCGGCGGCCGTGTTTTCGAACATAGGCGGCATATAACTGGTGTGGTATCGGTTTCAGCTCTTACTATGCTGGTGTGATATCAGTTTCAGCTCTTACTGTGCTGGTGTGGCGGCCAATTTTGGCCAAGTTTGTGATGATCCACCTTCTCCTCCTCCGTTGGGATTTTAGTTCTATGTCAATCTTGTTTGGTCTCGGTTAGGAGGAAATTTAGTCTATCGCCTCTTCCTTAGAAATGGTCGGAGGCATGCATAGATATCCAAGTTAGCACATGTTCCTTCTCGACAGTTGGTTTGGAATTCTAGAGGACAAATCCCTTCACCGTTTGCATCGTGTTCTTCTTTGGGATTTGCGTGGGCTTGATGCTTGTGTCCGAGATCTCAATTTTGTCTCATTTGATGGTGAGGTGTGATTGCTTAGGTTGTTATCTAGGTTCGAAAAAATTCTCAGTGTTGTTGCTGCGAGAGCTCTATGGCCGATTACGATGAGTTTTCTCGGATCAGATGTATGCTTATTCATCTCCTTTTAGTTGTCTAGTATGTATATTAGGGCAATGTTACCTGGTTTCTTTTGCTTGAGGATCAATCGTTAGTGTGGTTGAGTTTGGTCTTGTTATGGTTGTTGTTATGTTTTACCTCGAGAAAAGAGGACCTAGTAAGGCTCGAGACTAGAAATCAATTTGTGTAGCGCCTGCCAACATCAGAGTGGGGATCTTGGTAAAGCTTATGTCGCGTCTTCCGAAAGTTCCTACGCTTCCTGATGTGCTTCGTAAACGGGTGTTGATGATAGTTTTGTTTAGTTGATTGCCGACATTTGGATCTTTTGTTAAGTTTATGCTATCGGATGAACGTGTTTTCTTTAGCGACATCGGCATTTCATCGACCTTTCATTGTTGTTTCCCTTTCTCTGGCTTCCATATTGCATTTTGGTACGTTAATTTCAAGATCATTATCGCTAATTTTTTGGGATTGGAAAATTCAATGCTGAAAGTGTTGAACGTGTATGGTGTACCGATTATTATTTTGTTTACATGCGTTTAATCTTCTTCTTTTTTTTCATGGGATCAACATCATATTTGTAGCAATTTGTTCTACAAACAGTTTGTAATCCTAAATTTTTATTTTAAATGATATTTACAATTTAGCGAAAAAACTATAAAAACTATAACACGCATATTTGACAA